TGAATTAATGCTTCCACAGTGGGAAGGTCAATACAGAAACATAAGGAGAACACCTCCTCACCTTCTTAGGCATCCCTGGGAATTAGGCCAGTTCAATCCCAGCCTCTGTTGGTCAGACTAATCGCAGAGGCTGGCAGAGTGACATGCTCATGGGAAAATTTGCCAAAAGTCACAATGTATAGAAATGATGTGTGGATTGTGTTTGGTGACAATTCACCCTGGGTCTCATGTTTCTTCCAGTCTTGTGAGCAAGGCACTGCCTGCCCTATGTTTAGCCTTATCTTTCCGAGGATGTTTATTTTCTTTATGTATTTATTTAGAGACACAGCCTCACTCTGTCCCCCAGGCTGGGGTACAGTGGTGTGATTGTAGATCACTGCAGCTTCAAACTCTTGGGCTCAAGGAATCCTCCTGCCTTGGCCTCCTGAGTAGCTGGGACTACGGGTGCATACCGCCACACCTAGCAGAAGGATGTAAGTGTCCACAAATAGAGTGGCAGCCTTGGACAGTAGAGCTAGCATCTTTCCCTAAGGAGCAAGCAGCAGGCAAGCTTACTGCCCGTGGGAAATCATTTGCAATTTTAAAATCAGGGTTCCTCTTCTGTAAAGCCACTAAACAAATGTGCAGGTATCATCTGTCATCTGTCTCTCTTTGTGTTATTCTATGGGATTGGGGGCCAGGAAACTCACAAAAATGCTAATAGTCTGGCTACTGCTATTGCTGTGAATGATATCCGATCCTTCATCTCTGACATAGGAGTCTGGTGTGTTCTACCAGCTTCTGGGAAACACTGAAAGGCTAACATATTAGCTTGCAAGCATGGTGAAATCTCAGGCCCTTCATTCTTCTTGACCCTTGTGTGTCAAGAGCTATGAAGGGAAATAGACAGGAAGAGAAAACCATGTGGAAAAAATAACAGAAGAAGATTAGTTTCAATCAGAATAAAGTTTGGAGAGTGAGAAAATTCTTCTAGTTGTTTGCCTATTTATATTTTTCTACCATCCAACACGAAGTATTTCTCTATGGTTTATTTTTATAGCATTTAGAACCAGAATCATCCTTTATTTCCACTTGTCTTCTTATGTATTTGAAACAATAAAGGAGCAGCCATCATTCCTAAGTTAGGCTATTTTTTTTTTTCTTTCTAAATCTAAGTAGCCACTATGCCAGAGAGCAATTGGGCTTTTTCTTGATCCTCCCGGAGTAAACAGTACTTTTTTGAGTGGGAAATGAATTCAATAGTTTTCTGTCGCCCTGGTAGCCCTTCCCAGGAACCTTGCCCAGGTCATTTGTGGCAGTAACTGCTTCTCTATAAATAGGCTTTAAATCAAGGTTTCTGCACGCCTTCTGCGCAAGTCAAACTGGAAATAATTGAACTGAATCTCAATAATGTTGATACTGATGAAAGAATCTGGCTGCCCTTTGAATGGCTATCACAAGTTCGTTACTTGTGTTTCTTTACTGCTGTGTGAAACTGTACTTCTGTCAACACCTATCACACTATATTCTTACTATTTTTTGTTGACTCTGTCTCAAAGGCAAGTCTCCGTTTTATTCATCTGTACATTTTTTACTTCCTTAGGTAGTGCCCATAGATGTTTCTTTTTTTCTTTCTTTTTTTTATTTTTATTTTTTGGAGGCAGAGTCTCACTCTGTTGCCCAGGCTGGAATGCAGTGGCGCGATCCCAGCTCACTGCAGCCTCTGCCTCACAAGTTCAAGCAATTATCTTGCCTCAGCCTCCTGAGTAGCTGGGATTACAGGCATGTGCCACCATGCCCAGCTGATTTTTGTATTTTTTTTTAGTAGAAATTTTTCATTAATCAATGACTGAAAAGTAAGCAAAGAAAAATACATAACACAGTTGATTCTCTTTATTCACAGCAGTTACTTTCTATCAAGGGACACAAACACTGATTCACGTTAGTGAATATGGAACCGTGGCTTTAAGGGGAAATACAGAGTTAGGTTGCTCTGAGCCTCTGGTTTTGTCCATTGATCAATGCCTAACCTTGTTTTAAGTCAGAATCTGTTTCAAGAAGTCGTATTTGATATGCATTGTTGCTTCTTTAACATTGATCTTGAGGCCAACGGTCCTGTAACTCTTGCTTGAACAAAGCTCGAATAAAACATAGATTTTCTCCATAAGGCACATCTCAGCCTTCTTGTGCCTAAGAATGCTAAGCAACACTACTATTGGGGATTATTTTAAACAGTGCAGTCACCCACACAAATGCGAAAGGCCGTGAAAAGGACACTCGTTCTCAGTGTGAGAGCCGAAAGCAAAGGCAGAATACCCCCTGCTTCACTCCAGCTGGGGACGTGTACCATGAGTAGACTCAAAGTGTTTGCTGCCCTGAGCATGTCTGCAAATAACTGGGAAAGTGTCACATACATAGATTTGGGGGTGACAAATTTTAGTAAGTAGAAAAATTTTCAAATGCAGAACCTGCAAATAATGATGGTCAATTGTATACATACCAGTTTCCCTTCTGTTTACACTTCATTCACCAACGCAGGGTTTGAATTAAAATTGCTTTGGAGGCACAGGTATTAGCACTGAACACGATGCCTGAGTTTAGGACCTTGTTATCAAGCACACACTGATTAAAACTCCAACATATATTTTATGACTGTTTCCTCCATTGTGTGTATCCAGCTGTAGAGATTTGGCTGTGCATTTCTCTATAAACAGTCTTGTTCTTTTCTGCCTATGGAGAAAATGTTTAAAGCATATTAATGTCTCCTCTACTATAATAAACAGCAAAGGATGGACACAGAATGGGCCACGAGTCATCTAAATAGATACCACAAAATTAGGAATTACAGCAGACAGGAAGAACTGATGAGACCAGTGATCACTTCTCATAACTTGGTGGAAAGGGGAATTTGGCATGAGGGATGGTGGATTAACCACCTGTCCCATGAAGGGAGGTATTGATGCAGACAGACTGCATCATCTCCTGGCATGAACAGCCTCTGAATTACTAATAGTTCCATACTATGAATTAAGATTTTGTGGGTCAAAAATAGACATTTTTGTGTGGCTCATGTTAATCAGAGTGCACTCTAGTAAGGCATACCAAAGCAAACAGTCAACAGTGTGAGGCTCCCAATGGCTGGCCTTTGATTGGCAGAGGTTCACAGAGGTGGCTTCAAGGGCAGAGTTGCGAATGGAAAACGAGTGGCAAGAGGGAGGGTGAGTGTCGTTGCATAATTTATAACAGTGAGTCACACTCACTGTTGAGTCTTTCCTAGACCACAGCTGGCGTTTCTGCTATGATGGCTCTGAGTGGCCACTGGGGAAGAGAGTGAACTACATGTGGGACATCTGAGAGCAATTATCTTGGTAAATGTGATAGGACAACAATAAATATCCACCTTTTAAAGCAGACCTCTGGCCTCTGGAGCCAATTTGCAAATTGGGAGATAAATGACACATATACAAATATCATCTCATTTATTAATAAGTCTTCATAGACCTATACCTGTACCCTAGGTTGGAAATCATCACCAAACATTGAACAAATGCTTGCTATGGTTAAGGCATCATTTTAAGATCTGGGGAGGACACAAAGAAGCATGAGACACAATTATTGTCCTTCAGGATTGTAGACTGTGGTTGGAAACAGGGTATATGGTACAAAAAAAGAGAGACCTGGCCAGGCGTGGTGGCTCACTCCTGTATTCCCAGCACTTTGGGAGGTAGAGGCGGGTGGATCATCTGAGGTCAGAAGTTTGAGACCAGCCTGGCCAACATGGCAAAACCCTATCTCTACAAAAACATAATCAGCCAGGTGTGTTGGTGCATGCCTGTAATCCCAGCTACTCAGGAGGTTGAGGCATGAGAATTGGCTGAACTCAGGAGGTGGAAGTTGCAGTGAGCAGAGATAGCACCACTGTATTCCAGCCTGGACAACAGAATGAGACTGTCTCAAAAAAAAAAAAAAGAAAAAAAAGAGACTAATACACTTTTGATAATTTCTAGATTAAGACATAGAATAATAATGTATTATGAAATATTACATGCTATTACCATACAAGCCCATCTTTGCTATGGAGTGTAGGTGCATGGCACACGTGTCCTGGCTCCCAGGACTGGTCTGGGGTTTTGCTTCCACAAAAACAGTCTCCAGTGCCGACTGACAGTGGGAAAACCGGGATCTGGGCAGCCAAGATGTCCCTCTTATTCACTCAATTTCTGAACCAAAGTAAAGTTCCATTTTTAACAGAAAAAATGCTAACTATCAAGGAATATGGCTTAAATTTGAGGGTACAAGGACTTTTCAACCCACATTCTAGAATGTGAGGCACACAAGTCTCTGGTCATCCCCAAGGGCAAGAGAGGAGGAGAAGAGCTGCCCCCCACCAGGAGCTCTCTCCTAGGAGGAAATGAGAGGACAAGACCCACGCTGAGAACTCCTGGTCCATTCTTCTGCAGAGAAGAGCCAGATCACCTCGCAGCACCCCACCTCCAGCACAGAGTGAATAAGTGAGTCGGGGGAGGGCCGAGGTGCCGTCTGTCCTACCCTGAGATGCAGCCCACCCTGCACTCAGTGAGAACAGAGGATGTAGCAAGGGTTTCCCAAACCTTTAACAACCACTTCAATATCAATTTACTGCAGACCATCATGGAAGGAGGCACAAAAATACAGATTTGGGATCAAAAGTTGGGACCAGTGAATGAAACGCTGGTTTGGACACTGTTGACCAAGTAGGATTCACGAGTTACCATAACAATCATCATGGAGCCAAGCCATCATGGTTAAAAGTTCCACTCCCTCCCTCCCCATCCCTTTAATGAAATGCAATGTCCAACTACCTTACCGATGCTGGGTTCTCCATAGAGTAGCAGAACTTCCTGTGAAAACGCTAATTTCCACATGTAAGTAGCGGAGGTGGTGGCAAAAAACCATGGGTTCTGTAATTGCCGCTTACAGGATAATTAAGAGCTTAATATTATAAAAGTTAATTATAAAATTATATTAATTAATTTTAATAGCCCAACGATCCTTCTGGAATTGATGTCTGAGAAGAACAAAGTCCCCAGAGAGGCCAACAGGGAAAAGGTCAAGTCAGACCAAATTTTTCAGGCCCAGAGCTGTGCCTGCTTTGTCCTGAGCTCCAATTTGGGAAACACAAGAAGAAATGAAGATGGACACATGATGACAGAGACCCTTGGGCTCCTGGGGGTGGTGGCAGGAGCACGAGTGACAGCTGTTTCCAAATATGGACCGATGACAAGATGCTTCCAAGAACCAAAAGGTAGACCTTATTACTACTTTGTAAACTTTCTCAGGCTTACATTATACAAGGGGTAATTTTTTAAAATAATCATCATGATCTTTTCTAAATGAAAAATTTGATGATGCATTTACTATCCAAATCACTGTAATAATGAACTGCCTTCTAGTCAATTTCTAATGTAATTGGGGGATCTATGGCACAATTCTCCTCCTCTCTGTCACAAGCTTCAAGCCTGATATTTTCCTGGCAACTCAAAGCCTTCTTGTAATATTGTCAGCAGTGTGTCTTCCTCCCCAACATTTATAAAAAGTGGTTTTGTTTGGATTTGTTTTTCTTACAGATTAGGAAAGATCTTCTTTTCATCTTTCAAGTGAAAAACATATCTGCTAGCAAGAATAATGAGGATTTGAGAAATCACTGTGGAAAAAGAAGATTGTTTATACGAAGCCAGTGACTTTGGCCTGACTGACATATGTAAGCACATCTGACAGAAGCAAAAGCAAACTTAATAATCCAATGGTTATACCCCAAGCCCACGTAATTTGAGAAGTGAGCACCTTGGGGGCAGTTTAAAGCAGGGGCTTTGGTGAAGGCAGATCTTTTTATTTTTTATTTTTATTTTACTTAAAAAAACAAAACTGCAGAACATGCAGGTTGTTACATAGGTAAATGTGTGCCATGGTGGTTTGCTGCACCTATCAACCCATCGCCTGGGTACTAAGCCCCACATTCATTAGCTATTTTTCCTAATGTTCTCCCTCTGCTAGCACCCCCAACCAACAGACTCTGAGATGTGTTGTTCCCCTCCCTGTGTCCATGTGTTCTCATTGTTCAGCTCCCACTTATGAGTGAGAATATGCGGTGTTTGGTTTTCTGTTCCTTTGTTATTTTGGTGAGGATGGTTTCCAGCTTTATCCATGTCCCTTTAGAGGACATGATCTCATTCCTTTTTATGACTGCATAGTATTCCATGGTGTATATGTGCCACATTTTCTGTATGTAGTCTATCATTGGTGGTCATTTGGGTTAGTTCCATGTCTTTGCTATTATGAATAGTGCTGCAGTAAGCATACGTATGCCTGTATCTTTATAATAGAATGATTTATATTCCTTTGGGTATATACTCAGTAATGGGATTGCTGGGTCAAATGGTATTTCTGGTTCCAGATCTTTGAGGAATCACCACACTGACAGTATAAAAGTGTTACTATTTCTCCACAGCCTCGCCAGCATTGTTTCTTGACTTTTTAATAATTGTCATTCTGACTAGCATGAGATGGTATCTCATTGTGGTTTTGATTTGCATTTCTCTAATGATCAGTGATGTTGACCTTTCTTTCATATGTTTGTTGGCCGCATAAATGTCTTTTGAGAAGTTTCTGTTCATGTAGAAAGGCAGATCTTCTTTCCCCACTATGGGACCTTGGGTTGGTGTGTCTGTGGTTTCCATGACAACTCTCAGATTTGATGATTTACTGGAAGGGCTCACAGGACTCAGGAGAGTTACAGTTTGTGACTGTGAAAGGACACAGATTAAAATCAGCAAAGAGAAAAGGCACACAGGGAAAGGTCTGAGAGAAAAAAAAAGACACAAGCTTCAAGTTGTCTACCCCCAGCGGAGTTGCGTAAGTGCTTAATGCCCTAGGAACAGTGTGTGACACACCTGCGAGGTGTTGCCATCCAGGGAAGCTCGCCTGGGCCTTTGGTATCCAGGGTTTTTATTGGGGGTTTGTCATGTAGGCAGGCAGTGCCTTCATAGCTGACCTTAGCTACTCAGTCTCCAGCCCTGCCAAGGTCCAGCTGATAGAGCCTGGCCCAAAGCCCCAAGCATACAACAAGGGAGCATCATAAGCCACATTGATAGCACAAACTATCTGAGCAAGCTGGTATAGCATGGCCGAAACCTCAGTCACACAAACATTTCTATCAGGCCTCAGATGTCATCATGCAGAAGCCCTTCAACAGCCAGTCCTTTGTCTGGAGTAGTGTAAGGTTTGAGCACCAAAGCCTGCTGAGTTGACCTTTTACTGCACGAGTAATTACTTTTCCTCCCTGGAACTTGATTTTCTTCTCAGAAAAACTACACTAATGAGAAGATCTTTGTGATAATTCGAAAGATTATCCTGAAGATAAAATATCGGTAACATGTTCAGAATAATGCCTGACTTATATCAAAAACTCCATATTATCATTTCTAAAATTTTAAACTTTTAAAAACTTTATTCCAGGGTGTGGTGAGTCTTCTGGGGTTTGCCTCCTATGTCTCAGACTTGGAGCTGGAAAAGTTGGTAAGCAAGAAATGCCAGCTGGAGCAGACACACACAAAATAAAATAGCCCCAAGAAAAGACTCCTTTCTCTAGCCAAAGGAACACAACAGGGGCATCCTAGCCAGTTAGAATGCTTTTGGGCAGTAACTGCTCTGGCACAGCTGAACACCACAGAGAAGCTGTGGCCTCACAGCTGCCCCTGCCAGCAAAGACTCAGTGGGGAGCCTATACTGCCACCGCCGCTAGGCTGTAACAAGCTACCTAAACCTCTCTGGGGTGATGTCAGAGAAGGTGAGGTAGGGACCTGGGACTTCCGTATCTGATGGGTAGTAATGGGTACCCCCCCACACACACCAACATCAGTGTATACCACGTAAACAACCAGGACTTCCAGGATATCATGATGAGAGGTGAAGCCAGCTGGACTTCCTGGGTCCAGTGGGGACTTGGAGAACTTTTCTGTCTTACAAGAGGTTTGTAAAATGCACCAGTCAGTGCTGTGTAAAAACGTACCAATCAGCACTCTGTAGCTAGCTAGTGGTTGGTAAAATGGACCAATCAATGCTCTGTAAAATGGACCAATCAACACTCTGTAAACTGGACCAATAAGCAGGACATGGGCGGGGACAATTAAGGGAATAAAAGCTGGCATCCTCAGCGGCGTGGGGGGCAACCTGCTTGGGTCTCCTTCTATCCTGTGGAAACTTGGTTCTTTCAGTCTTCACAATAAATCTTGCTGCTGCTCACTTTTTGGGTCCATGTCACCTTTAAGAGCTGTAACACTCACTGCGAAGGTCTGCGACTTCATTCTTGAAGTCAGCCAGACCATGAACCCACCAGAAGGAACCAACTCTGGACAGGATGCTCTGAAGCACCTCTCCCCTGACCAGATGGGACGGTGTCCAAGGAGGCCTGGTGGAAAATCAGGACTTCCATCACTGCTCAATGGTAACGGCCACATCACATCTCCTACTCCATGGGGCCAGTGGAGGCCACATGGGAACCAATAACAAGGCACTGTTACAAATTCCAGCCAGGGTGGTAGCAGCAGCCCACTCGAGCCCCAACCATTAGTAACAAGGATGCCCTCCTTCCACCAAAAGCCAATGAAGGGTTGAGTAGGGAGGAAGGTGCTGAAAAACGCTGCAAGAAGCAATGACTGAATATATCTTAAATTTAGCAAAAACCATAAACACCGAGATACAGGATGCTGTGCAGACCACAAATAGGATGAACCCAAAATAATCCCCTCCAAGGCCTGTCAATGTCAAACTTCTGAAAACCAAAGATAAATTTTAAAATCTTGAAAGGAGTGAGAAACAGTGCCTTACTTGCAGGAGAGAATCAGTTTGAATGACAGCTTATTCCTCATGATAAACTATGAAAGCAGCACAACATTTTTTATGTGCTAAATGAAAAATATTTTCAACCTGTAATTCTATATCCAGCGAAAAATAATGCATCCCAAAATAAGCTTCAGCTCAAGGGTAATAGGGAATTTTGTTTATTTCTCCCTCATCTTAAAGTCCCCATTTTATACCCTGGAATTAATCTCTTAATATATGGCAATGGGAACAACTAGATTCTGTAGATAAACCCAACTGTTAGCCAGATGGATATGTTTACTCAAGTCTTGCAGTCCAAACAAGGCAATAATAAAACACCTTGACATTGATACCTTTTCCAAGGGTGGAAATTACTTTAAATCCTGTTATTGTATAGAATCATGCTATATTTAATTTACATGATACTAAATTTGCTTTTGTAAAAACTCATTTAGAAAACTATATACATATACACATATATATATATACACACACACACATACACAATATATTGTTTTGTTTTGTTTTGTTTTTGAGACAGAGTCTCGCTCTGTCACCCAGGCTGGAGTACAGTGGCACGATCTCAGCTCACTGCAAGCACCGCCTCCTGAGTTCATGCCAGTCTCCTGCCTCAGCCTCCTGAGTAGCTGGGACTACAGGCACCCGCCACCTCGCCCGGCTAGTTTTTTGTATTTTTAGTAGAGGTGGGGTTTCACCATGTTAGCCAGGATGGTCTCCATCTCCTGACCTCATGATCCGCCCGCCTCGGCCTCCCAAAGTGCTGGGATTACAGGTGTGACCCACCACGCCCAGCCGAAAACTATTTTTATATCCTTTTTACTTCTGGACCTCTCACATATACACTTCCAAAATACAGCAGGTAAGTAAACTGGGAACATCTTCAACAGCTAGATCATCTGCTTGGACTACATTGTAGAGCCCACTGCTCACAGTCTAGTCCCTAGCCACATACAGTTATTTAAATTTAAGTAAAACTGACATTTACTTGCTCAGTCACACTGGTCACATTCCAAGTGCTCAGCGTGGCCAGTGGCTGACGTATTGGGTGCACAGATACAAAACGTTTCCATCCTCAAAAGTTCTATTGGCAGTGCTATTTCATTGGGCTATCTGGTTCCTTTTGTTTATTGGGACTTATTTGTCTTCTTAGAACACAGGTGTTTTTATTACATGAATTGTGAATTTTGGAAATATGTATCTAATATCAGATTTTAGGTGTCAATAATATCTGATGTATTCATGTTACTGTCATATAACAAATCCACTTTTGCTTCAACAGTTCCCATCTTTTCTCAGTCTCTCAGTCTCTCTCTCTCTGCCAGAAAAGTCCACCTGCCCACTGGACATTTTGATATTAAGTGTCCAGTAAGTGCTTTTCATTGCACTTTCAAGAGGAAACCAAAATAAAACCTTAAGAAAATTATGGTATAAAGTACATAGGTTTGGTTAAAATAGCCTTCCCTCAACACACATATATACGTACACAAAATGTAAATAACATCATGCAAAATTCAAAGGTCCCCAATGTTTTCTGTGGACTTTTGTTTAAATGTTAATAGCATTTTATTGCATGGTTTGCGTGTTTCTCTTCTTGCTGTCTAAAATGCCTTCATGGTGCCCTCATGCAAATGTTTCGAACCAGTGACTATAGTTAGCACAAACTTAATTGAAAAATTACACGATTCCCCAAATAAGCAACTGGAAATAAAATTATTAAGATTAACTTCAATAGTTATGACTATTTCTGCTATGTCAAGGAATGTTTTACTCCAGCAACAACATAAAATATTCATGAATTCTTAAAGATGGTGATGCTGGGTTTCTGGCATCAAATATTGCTCTATGGTTAGGAAATAGCTTCAAAGGCAGGACACCCTCGGGCACAATATCAATGTGTGGATCATTACAAAGGGAACACTCTAAAAACTAGTGAATCTACAGAATCGAATCCAAGGAAGCTCTGCATTGGCTTCAGTAAACGGAGCCAATGCAGTAAATGGATGGCTTCTGTCCACCAGTACATGGAGAGGCCACGCTGACTTGCCCTCCCCTTTGTTCCCCGGTGTACCGCCACTGAACTCCAGCAAAATGGATTCTCAATGACTTCTTTAACTGCTGCTCGAATTTCACTAGGTCTGTCGTTCCCAAGCTTTAGAGGGCTGTGTATCAGCTGCAGAGCTCGTCAAAATGCAGATTTCTGAGCTGTGTCCTAGAGATAATAATTCATTCAGTCTAGGTAGGACCCAAGAACCTGCATTTTGCGAAGCACTCCCATGTCATTGGATACAGGTGTTCCATTAACCACCCTTTGAAAAGCATGAACCAAGCTCTCCCTTTCTTCATACATTCTCTAACCTAAATTTTCAACCATTTTGCAATGGACAAGAGCATGAGTTAGGAAACTAGGCAGGTTTGGGTTAGAATAGCACATCTCTACTTAGTCTTATTAATCTTGGACAAATTACTTATTATTTTTAATATTGAGGTTTTCCCCTCATATTGTTGTAGTTGTTGTCGTCTTGACCACTATCTTCAGTGGCCATAATCCGTTTAATAACGTGCACAGTTTCTATTAAGAATCTTATGTGAGGCAGAATTTCTTCTAGGCAGCTGTGTGGCATCTCTTTGAAATTAGCCTAGTAACCACTAGACACACAGGTATTTTTTTTCTATCGCTTTAGAAGTATTACTCTTTTTTCTCTCTCTCTCACTTTTTCTTCTCTTCTTTCTCTTTTTTCCTTCCTTCCTTCCATTCTGATGTTTGTTGTGAAGACTATAATTTCTTCTATATTCCCCAAAATATCATAATCTGGCAACCTGCTTGATTCAACTCAGAAATTTCGTTTCTGGAGTTTTTCAAAGGTCCATAGTCTGCCTTTGGGTTCATTGAACTAGGGTTATTTTATTGGCACAGATTTTTAAAGATTGTTAAAGTTATTGTGTCTTGACTTCCGCTTCTAGCATCTTCTTGGTGGTCCCATAAAAAGAAAACTGTCCTAAGTGACTCAGCCACAGCTTAGAAACACCACATCTGCATCATTACATAAGAATACGTTCTGATGTATTTTTAAGCACTATATTCATAATGTCAGTCTTTAATTCAACTTGCATCCTATGAAATTGGTCTGTTTTATATTTGTTGAAAACCCTTTTCATTTTATTTTTGCTTGAGTCCGACAGTTAAATCATTTTTCCCATTTTTTACGGATTGACGTGTCAGGAAATTGAGTAATTCAGCTAATTAAAAGGTCTAAACCTCATTCCAGGTAATTGATTCTCTAGAGAAAATGGAAGGAAGGTGTGTTATAAATAGCAATGCATTCTTGATACTCTTTGGTCTCTTTTTATTGATTCAGCACACAGTTGTGAAATTCTCATCTGTCTGAGTCGCCTGGCCCAGTGGGTTCTTCTGGAGCGCATGCACATAGGTGTGGATCACACACAATCATGGACACATCGGATTCCAGCTACGAGAGTAGTGAGAGGTTCATCAACTTGTATTCTGTCCTCTATCTTTATAGAGAGCCAGAGAAAACACTGGGAAAATGGCAAGGCAGGCCCGAGGTACAGTGGGTTTATGACTCGCACTTGTACGTGAGACAGGGTCTCACTGTCACCCAGGCTGGTGTGATCACAGCTCACTGCAGCTTCGCCCTCCTGTGCTGAAGCCTCTTGAGTAGCTGGAACTACAGGTGTGCACCTCCACACCTGGCTATTTTTTAAACTTTTTTTTACAGAGATTGGGGTCTCACTATGTTGCCCAGGCTGGTGTCAAACTCCTGGGCTCAAGTGATCCTCCAACTTCAGCCTCTCAAAGTGCTAGGATTACAGATAAGCCACTGCACCTGGCCCCATTTTTTTATATATACTGAGCAACTGGCTTCATAAGAAGAAAACCCAGAGCCATGTCCTGATCAACAGAAATTAATAACAAATTTTAAATCAGCAACACGTTTTTTATTTTTCAATGAATTACATTGACATTCATTTATTCATTATTTCATCTTTATCCTTGTGTTTTGAACCTTTTTTTTAAGCTTTATTGGGGTATAATTAATATATAAAATTGTACATATCTAATGTATACAATTTGATGAATTTGGATATATGCAAACATCTGTGATATCATCACCACAATCAAGGTATTAAACATATCCATCACCTTCCAAAGGTTCCTTGTGTTCGTTTATATATGTATGTGTGCATGTGTGTATATGTGCATGTGTATGTATGTGTGTGTGTGTATATGTGTGTGCGTGTATGTGTGTGTTCATGTATGTATATATGTGTGTATGTTTGTAGTAAGAACACTTAGCATAAGATCTATGCTCCGAACATATTTTCAAGTGTTAACTATTTGCACTATGCTGTACAGTAGTTCTCTAGAACTTACTCATCTTGCATAACTGAAACTATATCCACTGAGCAAGCCAGTCACAGAAGGACATACATTTGTTTTTCTTTTTTAGGAATTTCAAAGTGCTGTATTTGTATTCATTTCTAAGTACCTGGACAATGCCATACTCCAACTAAGACACTTTATGCAGTAATAAAAAAGAACCCATCCAGATATCTGTTCCATCAGTGAAGGCCATTTGATTAAAAAAATGTTTCTATCAGTCATATCAGTAAGAGAAGTACTAGTATATAAGGAGATAAGTGAAAGAAAGTATTTATAAAACAAAAGTATTTATAAAACAAAATCTGTCATGAACTTGAGCAGACTTCAGCACACACTGTCATGCTAATTTGTGATGAAATATAATAGAAATTTTAAGGCAAAGGACATAGTAATTTGATCCAGGTCTTGTGTTCAAATGTTCCCTGATCAATGCAACAGAAAAAATATTAAACACTAATCAAGGAAATTTGTTTAGGTGAGTGATAATGATATTGTAATTATGTTTTGATTCACTTTTATTTTATTGAAGTATAGTTGACAACTGTTTATATTTAAGGCATACAATTTGATCATTTGATATACAGATACACTGTGAAATAATCACAAACATGTTAATTAACATATCCATCATCTCACATAGTTACCTTTTTCTTTTTGGGTGAGAAGCTTAAGATCTGTCCTCTTAGCCAATTTGAAGTATACAGTAAGGTATCATTAACCATAGTCACATTGCTGTGCATTAGGCCTCCAGATCGTATTCATCTTGCTAACTGAAATTGGTGCCCCTTGACCAACATTTTCCCATTTTCCACAATAACGAATATTTCATTTTTTTAATCAACAAATTTCAATATGTTTTATGTTCCAGTTAGAAGCCACTGAAACAAAAGCCCTCCTCTCTGGGTCTCTGGTCTGAGAGACGGAACGTAAGAGTTACAATGTCACGTAAGGAGAACAGCAGGAAATCTGAAGTGTACCTGGATTTCAGACATCCTGGTATTCCATTTCTCACGCCAGGCATTTGGCACTGCTGGGCGTTTGCTCCACCTGAACTCAATTCCTGTCACCATCTTCCTGGCCCCTGAAACTTGTTCCTCCCTGGTGAGTTCAAAGATGACCCTTTCTTTGAGACCTTCCCTCATCCTTCTTCCTTTATCACTCCGTGTTACCCTCAACTTTTCTCAAGACGAAATCAGTGATTCCCTTCCCTGAGCTCCCAAAATCCTTAGAATGCACCTCTGAATAGCGGCGCCCCAGTTTAAGACAGGTCTGGCTTATGTTTGTTCCTCTGATTTGACTACAACCTCCGGGAAGGCGGGGCCCAGCCACTCCACGCGCTTGCAGGTCCTCTAGTCCTCCATGGGTGCTCAGATCCACGTCCTGGGTTGTGCTGACTCAGACAGGAGGAGAGAAGTCGCCCCCAGGCTGCTGCGCACCCTGTGCCTGCCCCAGCTTGCCTGCTCCCTGTCTCTCAAGCACCACGGGGTGGTTTTCTAGCAAGGAATAATAACAGGCAGCCCTCTTGTGGAGGAGCCTGAGATTAACCAGTTCTTTTTTGTGTGAAAGTTAGATAAGGCGTTGTGATCATACGTGCTCTTGGCCTGTTCCACTTCCCCAGGACCGTTCCACCTTTGTGTTTCAAGTATTTCAGCACTGACACCTCACAGCAACGTGGGATGTCACCTCAAAGCCTGATTCTGTGAGCTTGGCAGGTTTCTGAGCTTTAAGACAAATAAAATGTTTTGGCCACAAGCACATATTTATGTGGTCTGCCCCGGCCTGTGATAATGGGTAAACAGCGACTTTGGTGATGAGTCAGTGCATGGACCTGTCCCATGCATGATGTGAACCTGTGCCATGCCTGGAGTGCGCCTGCACAATGCACTACATGAATCTGTGTGATGCATGAGGTGAACCTGTGCAGTGCTGATGTGAATCTGTGCCATGCATGGAGTGAACCCCTGCAATGCATTCTGTGAATCTGTGTAATGCATGCATGGAGTGGACCTGTGCAACGCATTCTGTGAGTCTGTGTAATGCATGCATGGAGTGGACCTGTGCCATGCATTATGTGAATCTGTGTAATGCGTGCATGGAGTGGACCTGTGCCATGCATGAAGTTCCATGTGTTTTTAAACCCAGCCCCAGCCAAAGTTATGTGTTATAAATTATTCCAGATTAAATTGAAATAAATATCAAACGTCAACAGAGAACCCCATCCACTGGACCAAACCATCCCTAAAACACAACACAGATGAGTTCCGATGTGTTCTGTCAGCCTCATAACTACCCCTGTCAGGTAATTTATAATGTGATTCAAGAAGCCGTGTGCTGTTTCCTTACCTTTTAGTTCTCTCTTTCCCCTTTGGAATATCTCACCTTTTTATACCACAGGAATAAAACTATGGTTAGAAATAATTAAATTGTAACTTACACATTCTGAGCATGGCTCAGTGTGTAAAGGAAAATTGCTTCACATTTTGGGCAGTAAAGCGAATCTGAAGTATGTCACGCGAGTAATTGTCTCCTAGGAGACCCAAGCGCACATCATTGCCATGGAGACCACCTCGGTAGGCCCTCTCTGCTTGAAATGATTAGCATGGATCATCAGCTGGGGTTTGTTTTGGAGGAGGAAAGGCTATAAATACATGGCCAAGCCTTACAAACTCTGACAGGCCGTGTGCTCGAGCATGGGCTTGGGATGCAGAGATTTCCAAGTCCAGCTGTGGCATCACAGGTGAAGACCTCATGGACTGTATCCCTAACACACACCTTACACCTGAGGACACACACACCTTACACCTGAGGACACACACACCTTACACCTGAGGACACACACACCTTACACCTGAGGACACACCTTACACCTGAGGACACACACCTTACACCTGAGGACACACACCTTACACCTGAGGACACACACACCTTACACCTGAGGACACACACCTTACACCTGAGGACACACACACCTTACACCTGAGGACACACACACCTTACACCTGAGGACACACACCTTACACCTGAGGACACACACCTTACACCTGAGGACACACACTTACACCTGAGGACACACCTTACACCTGAGACACACAACAAAACACAATTACACCTAGGAACAAACAACAAAAACACCTTACACCTGAGGACAGACAGGAGCAGTCGGCACCAGGGGTGAGGCAGGCAGCCAGCGATCCAGGAGGGGCTCCTCCAAAAGCCATGCTGGGAAACTCTCCCCAGAAGCAGCCGGCAGCCCTTCCCTCATTTGCCTTGCCTGACCCACGCCTCTCCCTGAGTGTTTCCAAAGGGCGGCAGCAGCAGGAGAGGGCCAGTGCTCCTGAGAGGGCCAGTCCTCCTGAGAGGGCCAGTGCTCCTGAGAGGGCCAGTCCTCCTGAGAGGGCCAGTGCTCCTGAGAGGGCCAGTGCTCCTGAGGGGGCCAGTGCTCCTGAGTGGGCTAGAGGAAGAAAAACCGTGCCATGGGAAAAACCTATCCTGTTAGCAATTTTGAAATCTATAATACATGACTATTAATTGTAGTCACCATGCAAAGCAATAGATTACTAATGCTTACTCCTCCAGTCTAACTGGAACTTTGTACACCTGGGTCAGCATCTCTTCTCATCCCCTCCTTCCCCCCAGCCTATGGTAATCACCTTTCTACTCTCCGCTTCCATGAGTTGAATCTTTTCAGATTGCATATTTAAGTGAGATTATGTAGTATTTGTCTGTCTTTGCCTGGCTCCTTTCACTTAAAATAATGCGTCCAGTTCTATCCATGTTGCCACGAATGACAGAATTCCCTTCCCTTTTAACGCTGCAGGTGTTCCACTGTAAGGTGGTGAGGTGATGGATATGTTAATTAGTTTGAATCTTTCTAAAATGTACACATAGATCAAAATAGGTACAATTAGTATTTGTCAATTAAATTAATTTTAAAATGAAGACAAAAATGCACAATGTTGTATTTTTCACCTAGATTCCCTGAAACTCATTTTTGACGTCACAACAACAAAATTGCCGTGAGCACAGCTTTAGCCGTCATATTCATTGCTGCACCCAGCTACTGACCCCTCCTGTTTCAGAACCAGGGGCGGTGCTCGGGGCTGGTGCTGTGAGCTCAGGAGCCGGGGAGACTCCACCTCCACCCTCAGCGAACGGCTTTTGTTTCAGGGATTGCCAGGCATGCAGCACACCCAGCTGCAGAGAGAATGGGAACGCTCAAGGAAACATTGTGAAGATGTGATTTGCTAACAGCCAGAGGATGAAAAGGAAAAGGGAAAAATGGCTGAAAAGATCAACGTCAGAATGTTGCTCACTCACTCTGTGGCAGGTGGGCCTCTGAAATCCTCTTGACTGGGACTTGCGTTTTATACACAGCACTGGGAAATGTGTTTTCTGAGAACCTGTTTGAACTGATGGGAGTTTGGAGGTGGTGATATCCGAACATCATGTTTTTTAACCCTCTTCTATTTTATTTATTAAGTGAAGTCTTAATATTTCTTCCACTTCTCTTGGGCTCCTAAGAGCACTTTTCCACACATGCAGGGCACTGCTCTTTGAGAGCTCTGATGTTGGCCACTCCCCTGTGACCCTCTGCAAGCTGTTAGAGCCACGCTGCTCCCATGGCATTTAGTGAGTGCTGGTTTCCATGAGTGGGCCTGACCTCTCGGAGGTCAGTGGTGCGGATAATTGCTTCCCAGCTGGCTTGTGGGCTCCTGGTGGGAAAGGCCTGGGTGTGACTTACCTTCGCGCACTTGTTTCATTCATTCACCCATACAAAAAAGGGTTCACCAAGCACTGAAGTGTCAAGCATTGGATGAGACTGGCAGCTCCCTGGGAGAGCGGCAGCAACGTCAAGGAGCAAATGATGTGAGGGCACAGGGCAGAGAGCCGGCTGCACCATGGCCATCATGCTGAGAGAGATGCTGCCAGAGCAGGGGCCCTGTCACAGCTGGACATTCAGGGAGAGCTGCACTGAAGGACAGCAGGCATTTAGCCCTGCAAAGAGAAAAGGGAAAACCCCAAAGCATCCAGTCTAGGGGAAAGACAGTGGAAAGCCCAGGGGCCACATGGGTGGGGATTGCCCTAGAACTCCAGGCAGGCCAGCGTGGCAGAGGTTAGTAAGTGAAAGTGTGGGTGGGTCCCATGTCATGAGACCTGCTTGGGGGCTTTGACTACAATCTGTGTGGAAAGCAGAACCTATGAAGGGCCTTCAGCATGGGATCATAGTGGCACTGGAGTTTCCAAAAGGGGTACTTTTTTGAAGAGGTTGGAGGGAGGTGGGAATAGAACCCATTCAGAAGAGGTGGCTGTGTCTTGACTGTGGTTGCACTAGGCTATGGGAGTTCCTTGCCTTGGTGCAGCTGTAATCAGGCCCCAGAAATCAGGAGGAGATGGTTAGAACACAGGCAAAAGCGGCATCATCATCACATCAACCACTTTGGGTTACTGGCTTTGAGGAAGCCAGTACCTCTGAAACGGGGAAGAATACTACCGAGCAGGACTCGTGTGCCCTGTAAACTCGTGCTGTGAATTGGTCACCGTGTGTCCTAAGCATGTATCCCCTCATTGTCCAGGAGGATGCAGGTGAGGGTGTCTGCGGCTGCTTTAGCCCCCAGCCTGTATCATGAGACCCATGCAGCCTCCTCCACCCAGCCCAGCGTGCTGCACAGATCATCACCTGCTCTAAGTGCATGATGGAAGAAAAGCCAGGAACACAGCAGAATCTGTCCAAAACGGTTTTTGAAGTCTGTCCTCCGGACACAATCTCAGGGAAGTAAGAGGGTTCCATGTGCAAATAAGTTATGGCACCTTTGGCAGAATGCTGCACGCTACATCTTCTGTGCACCTTTGGGGATTTGTAATGCAACAGCATATCAGTGACTCGGAAGAGGCCCTCAGTGAGAAGCCCATTTCCAATGTCCTTTAACTTAAGACTTCTCAGACATATTTGACCATGCGACAAGCTTCTTTTTAACATAATACCTATTAATATTTCATAGTGGACACATTAAGAAACGCCATCATAAACCGGGCACAGTGACACAAACCTGTAATTCCAGCTACTCTGGAGGCTGAGGTAGGAGGATTGGTTGAGCCTAGGAGTTCAAGGCTAGCCTGAGCAACATAGTGAGACTGTGGCTCTAAAAATAAAAACTAATTTAGAAAAAGAAATGTCATTATGGGTTTTCCTGGATTGAGATGGGTGGAGGGCTTTTGAAGGAGTAGAACAGAGAAAACTAGAATCATTGAAAAAAAGTGAAGCAGCCAGGATGAATGCTTATATAAAATCTGCATGCATAAACAGATTCATTCATTTAAACGTATGCATTTTCAAAGCACATTCACTCCTGATGCCTTTTATTCTCACAAGTGTGAGGTAGGTGGTGTTGGGGCTCGGAAACTAGTAACCCAAAACACATGCCGATATGCTGAACTGAGGAAGGCTCAAGGACTCTCACCTTAACCCCCTCCCCAACGGTCTCCACCAAGGAAGCGGAGTTCCTTTATCTACATAAGATCCAGACCCACCAAGGAGAACAACTGTCTTTCCTTCCCCTCCCTGTTACCTCATTTTCTATTGCAGAAAAGAAGACCAAGATGTGACCGCACCTGAACAGAGCCTTTTAGGAATATAATGACTATCTCCAAGGGTCATTTGAATACCAGACAGAACTATTTACAAGTTAATCTTCTTTCCTGGATTCAGTCTCCCTAGCAATTATTTATTACAGCCCAATAGAATTCCTCCTCTCCCCATTGCCATAAGCTGTTTTACCAGGATCCAAGACCCTCTTTTGAAACTATCACCACAGAGTTGACAAGGATTGCATTACAGGTTCTAGACAGAAATAGTTGTGTCCTGCAAAAGGAAAATAAAATCTCAGGACTCCAAACTCACTATCCCTTAAAGAAATGTTAAACTTGGAAATTGAGTCATGCAAAAAAAAATTAATAAATAAAAATCTGCCTTTGCTTTTGTTCCTAAACCAAGATCTCCTCAGGTGGCCTCCCTCGCCTTGACAACGGAAATGAACAGTTTATCTTCATGGGTACGGGACAAGATGAGACTAGACATTGTCCCTCCTCCCATTCCCTGACCAATGCATATTTGACTTATTCCTCGACTCTAGGTTGACTTTATCTTATGTAAAATGCAGATTTACTGAGCATGAGCCGAATGCGTAATTGACTCTTCCTCTACCCCATGCTTTTCACAGGCAATGTGTGGATTCAGTGGGCACTAATCAAAGGCTCATGAGAATGTGACCATACCCTCCCTCTTTTATTTTCTTTCCTCCTTCCCTTCCTGCCTTGTTTTTTTTCCCCTTCAAATGTTGTAAACCTGAAAACTCTCTTTGGAAAATGTATGGGCCATAGATCCTATTGTGGCTTGTGTCTCTTTTTCCTGGATGTGTCCTCAATCTTGGCAAAATAAACCTCTAAATTGGTTGAGACCTGTCTCTGATACTTTTTTTTGGTTTACTGCCCCTACACTGGAAACTAGTTTCATCAATGAAACAGCATTGTCCTCAGCACAGATGTAAGTGCTGTCTGCTTGAAGAATGCCTCGCCTGTTCATTTCAGGTGGTGGTGACCAAGTGCAGTCAAAGCATTTATCTGATTTGATTTAAGCAGATAGAAATAATCATGGTTGCCCTTCATGGCAACTAGAGGGGAGATTGTAATTAGCAGGATCTTTGTGTTTAGGAAGACCCACCTCAACTTTGAGGCTATTCTGTCTCCACTATTAAAATACCAAAATTAGAATGAACTGCTGGCTCTCACACACAGAAGCATGGCAAATTTAATATAGATCAAAAGGGATGAAATTGTCCCCTGCCACATCTGGCTATGGAAGATATGGCTATGAAAACCAGACATGCTTCAGCATCTGTTGTTATGACAGGACCTCTCCTAAGGAAATTTTGATGAGTAGTTGACCTGCGGTGAACAGGCCCCAAATCTACTCCCTTTTAATTCACACAGAGCTCAAGGTTGGAAAAGAACCTAAATTGGCTCCTAAATTAGTAAAACCAAGCTATTTTGATCATTGTATACACAGATTTTAAATGGAAACACATAAACTGAATAAGACAACTTAATAAAGGGAAGAAGCTGTTACCTTTAACTCAGAGGATGAATATCATGTTTTTGGAGCCCAGGCATAAGAGCTGCATCTCAGAGACGACATTATGACAATAAAGAGCATTTATTTCAGACAAAAATTACGTGACTTGTTTTGCAGCCACATTGCACCAACTGTATTGATTGTCAAACTTTTCTCCTTTGAACACATCTGTGGTTCATTGTTCTGCTGTATTATTCTCTTAATTGTCAGCTTAACATTTTCCATTTCTTCTAATTTTTCATCCAATTTTAGAGGCCTTTTGATATGGTTAGGCTTTGTGTCCCCACCCAAATCTCGTCTTGAATTGTAATCCCCAGGTGTTTAAGGGAGAGACCTGGTGGGAAGTGATTGGATTAAGGTGGCAGTTTCCCCCATGTTGTTCTCGTGATAGTGAGTTCTTATGAGATCTGATGAATTTAAAAGGCAGTTTTCCTAGCTCTCACTAGCACTCTGTCTCCCTCTGCCATGTGAAAAGGTCCAAATTTGCTTCCTCTTTGCCTGCTGCCATGATTGTAAGTTTCCTGAGGACTCCCAGGCCATGTGGAACAGAGTCAATTAAACCTCTTTCCTTTATAAATCACCCAGTCTCAGGTATTATCTTTACAGCAGTGCAAAAACAGACTAATATACCTTTCAATGGAGATGGCTTTATATAAGCTAGTGTTAACCTGCATTTTTATTACTTGGTTTGGAATAACATAGTCCCATCCAATTATTGTACCTTAATGCTTTCTGGCCACTTACTCCCTCCTGAAATCATCCTGGTTCTCAAAGCATCTTTCCATCTCACCTCTTCCTCTGGAATTCATAGAAAACCAAAATGGTTCTATTAATATATTTGTATGTGCTTTTGGTGGAAAGTATTCTCAACTCCTGATAAAGGGACATGTACAAGAATAGATGTTGCAATTTCACAAACACATTCAAATGGAAAAAAAATCCATAGGCAGGTAAAGCTATTGTAATGATGAAAAGGAGGCCTAGCGTGAGTAACTTTTTCTCCTAACCCCCCTGCAGGAGTGGTATCTTTTAGGTTCATTGTTTTTACTTATCTCTACATGTATATTAAGATAACTATGGGAAGAATTTAATTTATAGTTTAACTTTTTAAAGCAAAGATAGTAATAGTCTTTTTTTCCAACATTAATCCCCTGAGGACATAAGAAAGTATGTACACAATTAATGATGCTAAAGATTTATAGGAACACTGTGACCTGACATTATCTGAAGTCAACTGACCAAGAATAAAGAAGCTTTACAACCTCCTTGGACCCTTGCTGCCACCCAGATGACTGTGGTTATTGGTCCCCTCTTGGCCTCAACCCCCTCCCTCTTCTGCCTTCTCCTAATATAAAAGGAGACTAAAATTCTATTAACTTGAGATGGTTCATTAGGACACTAGTCTGCCATCTTCTTGCTTTGCTGCTCTCTGAATAAAGTTACCTTTCTTGCCCCAGCACCTTGTTTCTGGACTTATTGGCTGCTGCACAGTGTATGGTAGGAGTTTGGATTGGGCTACACTAAGAGGGAGATAAGCTGATGAAGGGTAAAGTCCAGACTGGGGAAATTGAACATAACTGAAAAAAAACACACCATCCTTAGCTTCCCGAGGCTCACAATGGTATGCAGGGCTCAGTTTGAGTGTGTGGATTGGAAACAGCTGCTTGACTGTGAAAAACAGAAACAATCTTTGGTCATGCTCATTCCCATCCTCAGTCCTGGATTTGGCTGCTATGTGCATGATCCATCCTAGCAGTGATGGTGGAAGAGACATGGAGGGATACTAGATCTGTAAGAGCATGGTTTGCCCTTTCTCTGAACTGGTCCTTCCCGGTGACTCACAGTGGCTAACAGTGGGCTGGATAATGGCGTTTTCTTTACACAGAAGCAAAGTCTGATCTCGCTACCCGTAATGCTTCACCATTACCTAAAGTAGATTATTTCTGCTGAATTCACCACTGAACTGTGAACCTTAAAAGTAACCAAAAATATTTCACTCCAAAACATCCTTCTTTGACATCTATTGAAATGGTTATTCAAAAAATGTGTGTGGTAAAATAACTAGCCAGGCTTTCTCTGCATCCCATCCCTTGTCCAAATATAGGAAAAATTAACTCCAACTCAGGTAACCCTCCATTCTCTCCCAGGGCAGCTGCGCCATTACCTGAGACACTTTCATCTGCATAACAAGATAGCTTTGGTTTGCTAGGCTTTCCTCCCTTCATCCTCCAATAACCTGTGATGCCACCTCCCCCAGAGCCCAGAGAAACTTGGTCCCACGACGTTGTTCTTTAGCTCTTTCATTTTCCCTGAAAATCATTCACTCCTATGAACCCCCATATTCCCTCTCCCCAAGGAAGAGGGTGTTTAAGTGACAACCATCTTGTCTGTCTTTGTGTTTCTATACTTTTTATGCCTCCCATGCACACATGTGCACGTTAATAAATTTGTATGCCTTTCTTCTTGTTAATCTATTATCAGTTTGTTTTCTTAGACTCAAAGGATCGAATTTTCAGGGGAAAAATTTAAACTTACTTACAACCACAACTGCCACAATGACTGTGAAGCTGACATTTCTACACCATAAAATCCATATGAAAGTCTTTGACTTAGAAGTATTTAGCATTTGCTTGAGTGAACCACATAAATCTCAGCCCTAAGGATAATCTCTCAGAACATCATCAAAAAGATAATGGTGGGTTACAATGAAGATGCAG